GATGTGTATAAGAGACAGTATATATATATCTTAAAGGAACTTTTGCATTTATTAATTTCGTATTTTAGGCGGTACACCAATTATCGAATGGAACGTCTGTGTGTTCATCATGCGGAAAATAGTAGACGACAAACAGACAGGAACTGCCTACAGTTTAATGACACTCACTACAAAGATTGGCAAACTGATTTCTTCAGTTCTGGCTGGTTATTTGTATAGCATATATGGACCTACTTGGCTGTTTCGTATCTTTGCTGCATTTTCCTTTGTAGCTGTTGGCATAACCTATGTAAGTTGATAAACAAAACCCTTCTACCATATCTCGATATTTTCCTTAACCCACATTAACAGTCGATAGTTGCTCTAATAATATAATGCATATCTATATATATATATATATATATATATATATATATATAATAACAATATATATAATAACAATATATATAATAATAGCAATAATAATAATAATAACTATAATAGCACAATGTTAATATTAAATTCTTCCTTCCTTAGATAAGCTTCCGATCAATTTCCCATGAAAAAAATGAGGGTGACAACGACACAGATTCGAAGACTGACGCAGAGACAGAGGAAACCAGTCTACTTACAGCCACCAGGCCAGTCGCGGTTTTACCAGATGTCAGTGTAGATTGTGATATTCAGAGGGTCCAGCCAAAATAAAGAGACTATAAAATACGCCAGACTGAATCATTTAAAAGCATCACTTTTTAACAAAAAAAATCATCAATATGCTGAAAATCATCGTCTTTAAATTTAAAAAAAAAATAGATATCATATCGATTATTTGAAGAAACAAAAACAAAAATTGTTTTCTTGTGCCCCAAGCCCTCTCGTAGTTTGAACTGCCCATGACGATGTCACCTAAACTGGTGACTTCATTCACAAAAACTTTCTCTGTGGTCGTCCAAACGAGACAGCAAAATCTCTCTAGTGAGCCTAAGTTATCGACAGCCAACCGTATGACTTTGGTATGTCCTAAAAAATTAATAAAGATTATATGAAATAAAAATCAGGATCTCTGTTTGTGTTCATGCTGTGTTTAATTACCATTCTTAACGCCAATAAGCCAAACCTACTCAACTCAATATTTAATTTAAGTCATTATATCATATATACAGTATGCTCTTACAAATCAAATAACATCAAACTTCTGTTGTTAATTGCACAAAGTAGAATTAAACATAAATTCTGCCAAAATACATAAACAATTAGGCCTATGTATATAATTTGAATGTTGATTTAATCAACATTCAAATGAAGTTAAAACATTATAAAACACTATAGCACTATTCGAAAAAATATTCATGGAAATTGTGAACGATATGGTAAAGTTAGGTCAGAAAAAAAAACGTTACAGCAACGTTTGTATGAGAACCAAGCTTGTACATACAATCGCTACACGTATCGCCGACAGCTTTATCGGCGATGCTGTCGGTCGCTCGAATTGGGGAGCCTTCTTGGGGACTGCTACGTATTATAACGATTTCACTAAAAACACTGTAGAGCGACAGTGTAGCGATTGTATGGAAACTAAGCTTTATACTTATTGGTCGGCCGAATCGTGGAGCCTTTGCGATTTCTTCGGAGACTTCTACGCTAGTGTAGTGCAACGATTGCAGTAAAAAAAAACTGTAGCGATAGTGTAGCGATTTTTATTTTATTTAAAACCAGACTTTACAGCAACGTTACAGCAAATTTTTAGCCAGAAATAATGTTATAGATACGTATCAAAATTTTCCGTTGGGAAAACGCACAATATTACACTCACAAAATTAATAACTAAACGTACACGAACACGAGAAAAATTCAAATAATATCATTTGTTCCCAAAGTACAATTATCAGGAACTATACACTTCGGGTTTCGTGCTGTTATGTTATAAGCCTAACACAAGTGTAAAATTTACCAAAGATAATAACAATACACACATAACAGGAAGTACATACGTTGGGTATTAAGCTCTTATATACCTAGGCCTATAACGAAACTAAATAGAGAATTTCAAAACATTTATAATTGAGTCGATTAAATGTATCATGATTTATCAATTTATTAATCAGTACTACTTTCATAACACACACGTGATCATACAGCAAATATTGTATACATAGATAGGCCTACGTCTCGTTGTCGATTATACAATCATATTATAATATTTTTTGCCTTTGTTGCACAAAGATGATTTTTTCTGGTTCATCCGGTGAAATGTAAATGTACGAAACAGAGACACGATAATGTCTTCATCACGGTCGTTTTTTGAGGCCGTTAAATCTGGGCTTTCCATTGATCCTGATACTGTGACTTTTAAGGTGTACTTCTTTTTCGTTTACGGAGGACTTTCAGGAATTATGAATTTCTCAGCCCTTTACTACAAACAATTGGGACTCTCGCCGCTAGAAATCGGATGGGTATCTGGAATTCGAAGCATATTTAGTATTGTGGTCCTGCCTGTTATCGGCTTATATTTTAAAGAGAACAGAAAGTACATAAAAAGTCTTCTCACGATTTTCATTATCTTGTTTATTTGTTTTATTACACCAATTGGATTCATACAGAAACCAAACTTGTGTTGCAGCAAAAATGAAACGTTAAATGTATCTGCCATTGGGAGATGCCCCGACCTCCCGTGCTGTGCAGAAACTAACGAGAAATACTGCTGTCGGTTTGTGTCTCAATGTGGAAAACCTCAATTTGGATATATTAAGCCAGATCTTGTCAGAGTATTTATCATCATATGTATTCTAACTGGATTAGGGGAGGCGTGCTGGATGGTGATCCGAAACACGTCTGACGTATCATTAACACAGGCTCTAAGGGGAAATAGCGATCGATTTGGAACGACGAAAGTGTTTGGATCAATCGGAGAGTCCTTATTGTAAGTTATAAATACTTGCGAAAAGACCACCTTCGGTGGCCTTTTGCGTTGCTGTGAGTACTGGGATTGGTCCAGATAGTTTCAGGGAGAATGCATGCAAAAAGAAAAAAGGGCACTCCTGTATAAATGACGTGGGGAACCATCTTCTGCGCTGTCACCCTCCCTTTTTTGAAAGGCTTCAAGCCAAAAAATAATAATTACATTAGCCTGAAAATTATTCTCATAAATGACACACCTCCACCACCCCCACCCCAACCCAAGAAAATAAGAAAAAGCTGCTGTCTATTTACCAACATCTTTATATTTATTTATTCATTCTAACGCCGTGTTACGCCTGGTTTCCTTAAAAAAACGTTACACTAGAGTTTTTCAGTGCAATCGTTGTACTGCGTAGCAATCCCCGACGGATAGAGAAGGCTCCCAAATTCCAGCGACCAATCGGTAAGCTGTCGGCGATAGGCTGTAATGATTGTATGGATTCCTATTCAGTACAACGATTGAACTAAAACAAAATCTGGCGACAGTGCAGCGATTTTCTCTTATACACATCTAGATGTGTATAAGAGACAGTTAGTTTAAAATAAACATTAGGCTCTTCTTGGTCCGGTTACCATGGCAAAGTAAGATAAGGGATTAACCCATTATCCCAAATAGGGGTTAGAATTTGGAATATCCCATTTAAATAGGTATAACTTCATAGTGACAAAATCCACATGTCACATTAAATTTGTCAATAAAGCTATAAATAAGCGGTTTCCAAACCGTACAATTGATAAAATTAAATATCAAAGAAGGAAACCTTCCTATAAGGAAAAAAATCGGGAATTTCTCGCATTTAATATATAAATAGATTTTAGATCTACTAATAATGTCGATCTTATCACTGACTTCGACAACAAATATCCCCTTATTCGATGGTTGGATAAAAACTTTCACGATAGCCAACATGACAAAAATACCAAATTACAGTCCGATTTGACTGACTGACTTAATTAACTGTTTTAAAAATAAAGTACCCCTTGATTTTGGTCGGTTACCAAGAAAAATTCAGATTTATCTTTCCACAAGTCTATCAATGTTCCAAAATTACCTGCCAAAAGCTCTTGTATCCTATATATCAAGACCTATATACACAAAATAAACTCTTAAAACTTGTCTAGGCATCTTTTGGATAATGTACCAATAACCAATATCGCTCCTAATCCTGAAACTGCTTTTGTCCATTTTAATAATATATTTAATAAACAGCAAAGAGATGAAAACATTATTACGGAGGAACCACTGAACCGTTTGGATGATACCAGTCTCCAAAATTTACTTCAGCCTATAACTACAAATGAAGTGTCTGATGCTCTTAAGACTATAAAGAGAGACGGTGTGGCGGGCCCGGATGGCGTATTTTATAAGGACCTTAAATGTATTCAGCCTCGTGACCTTGCGACCTTATTCAATTTATAGATGGTCACTCGCCAAATTCCAAATACCTTAAAAGATAACTACACTATGCTATTACCCAAAGGAGATCCCGTCAAGGAGGACCTCTCAAAATGGAGGCCTATAACTATCGGGTCCTACTTGTTACGATTATATACCAAGATTATTAATTTTAGATTGAAGAATGTTATTAATCTTAATCAACGACAAAAAGCATTTATACCTGCCGATGGTTGCCGTGAGAAAACTAAACTTCTCGATGGCATCATAACAGAGTGTAGGAACAAATTAAAGTCCCATTATGTTATGTTTTTGGATATATCAAAGGCTTTTGATTCGGTCCATCATTCCACAATTGATAGTGCGTTGACAAGACATGATATTCCTTTGTTTATGCGTATGATAATTCAGAATTTATACAAAGATATTAAAACTCATTAGATTACCCAATGAGATATCGGAACCTATTCCAATTCGGTGCGGTGTAAAGCAAGGTTGCCCGTTAAGACCACTTTTATTCAATCTTCTATTGGATGAACTTTTGGATACTCCTCCTACTATTATTACTTGATGCTTTTGGATATGAACATAACGCATTTGCCTTTGCCGTTGACTCAATGGTTACTGGCTCCATACTTAACCATAGGATTGGTAATAAGCATATTAC